TGGCTAACAGTAATCACTGTTCAATGAGTTTTAATAATAACATGTAACATGTAATTCAATGTAACAATATTGTAATCGCTTGTGGGTTAATTATTAATAGAAATATGGGCAAAAGTCAAATGCTTTTTATGACATAATCCCAAAAAATCATCCGACAGTGATGCCCTACAACACAAAGTAATATTCTTTAATATTAAAAAATTTAATATTTTATTCTCAAGTGCGAAAAAGATTTTATGATATTAGAGAACGACATTATTTACGCTATATATCTTTATCGTTAGCTATAAGTTTTGAAACTAGATCTACTTACGGAGACTACACTGTAGTTTCAGACAGCAGGACAGAAGTGAAAAAAGTGATAGAGGGAAAAAGAGTAGAGGAGATAGCTGTGTCTATGTCTTACTAAATCTTTGTGGAATTTATTTTGCCAACTATTCAGTGATTTACACACACGCTGCTTTCCCTCGCGGTCTGAGCTCATCTTTCAGTTCGTATTCTCCACTCCAAACAAACTTGAAGTTTGGGCCACACCACTCGACAAAGTGTTAATGAGCACCCACACACGCAGACACACACACACACACACACACCCGAAAACACACACACTCAGACACTTCAATACCATTGCGCCCTGGTTGCTTTCATTATACGTGTTATTTTCGCAGCCGGGCCACAGTGCGTATGCGTAATTTTTGTCACTTATATAGTTTGCAGTTTGACAACGAAGCCCCGACTCCACCCAAGTGTCAAGTGTTTGCTGCAGATTTTAATTTCGGCCACTTGATGTCTGCCTGGCCCCCGCAGCGTTCCGCATCACATTTGATGTGTGCGAAATAAAAAGCGGAAGGAATTAAATTAAAATTTTAATTAAAACAAGCTCCTGTCTCCGGCATCTTCTGAACATTCAGAGCACCCCGTATAAACAGCTTAAAGCTTCGGGGCTATTTAATGAGTGTCCGAGTGTGGCTCGGAGATATTTCTCTGAGGCTGTCAGGGAGCTGTTGGAATGCGGCCCAATTGACAGCTTTACGAGATCTTCTTAATGCTGACCGAAGTTTAAGGTCGGGTAATAGTTCCTCAAGTGCTGGTCATTCAATTTAAAGTGGTTTGACCACATCAGCTTGTTAAAGTGCTTACTTATTTTTATCCAATTATGAAAAGAAATTTGTTTACCTATTGTTATAACTATCATGAATTGCTCCTATGAATCATTCGCTTGAATGTTTAATGGAGCCTTATCCATATTATTGCGTTCTTGATCCTTTAAATATAATTTGCTTAAAAATATTGTTCTATATTTTGACTAAAGATTATTTTTTACAAATCAAATTACTTTCTTTTCATTAACCAGCTTGAACTTTAGCTCATTTTAATGTCTAAAATAACAAATGCTTGAGTTCAGTTTTTAATGAAACATAAGCTAGATGGTAACTGAAGAAATTTCATTACTAAATAACCTTAATATTACAAAATTGTTTCAAAAAACAATTTCATTGCGGTCTGGGACCCAGCTGGAGATGCCACCTCCAAGGACTCCGCCCGAGGCTGTCGGCTCCGGCGTCATCATCATCATTGCCATCAGCTAATGACCCTGGAAAATGGCCAAAACAAACGATAACCGAGGCAAGCCCAGCAGGGACCCTGGCTGGTAAGTAACGAGGATTAAAGGCGGCTTCCAGCAATTTTCAACGTCATAAATAATATTTCAATAAATTTATATTTGCCCTGGCTCCCGTTGAGCGCTTAATTGTGTTAAGATGACAATGGCAGCCTGGCCAGCTTAACGCTTGCCTCTATATTGTGGCTGCAACTGGGTTTAGTTATGCTGCTGGCAATCATGTTGCACGTTTCATTAGGATTAAGTTGCTCTGACGGCAACTTCCCGATGCACCTTCATAATTCCATACAATACAATCCGGGGAAAAAACGACATTATTGAATTGATTTTTTCCCTTCAGAATTATTTTTGCTTTACCCCCCCCCCCCCTTGCCAATGCGCTCAGCAGATTTTCTCGCTCTGTTCTCTATTCACGTCCTTTGTTTTCGCTTGCCAATTTTTGCTGGCCAGCGAAATGAAAATTGAAAATTGAATATTTCCGGCGACACAATGGGATGGCCGCAACAAAAGCAGCGACAGCAGCAGCTGAAAAGCAGTTTTGCTGACCTAACCACACAAACTTCCCTCTGAAATTCCCCCCTTTTCCAAATTTGAGCGTGCGACTTTTGCTTTGCTTCTTTTTCGAATCGAAAATTGCATTTGCGAGGTAAAAATGGTGAGCTGCTGTGCCGAGGAGGGGAGGGGGGTCGGAAAATATGGCAGCAGGCGGAAGCGGAAACAAGCCAAGCGCCTTTAGCTGCTTCAGATTTCGAGAGACGGTGGAAAGCTGTTCGACTTTGCGTCCCCAGTGAAGCGATTGAGATCGATGAAATCGGTATTTGGAGTAGGTCAGAAAGGGAGTTCTGGGGAAAAAGGGAAAGAAATCCCAAAAATGTTTATTGAAACATAATACAATTCTATGATTGGTATTCTTAAAAGGCTAGTTTTGTAGATAAATTTTATATAATAACTTGAATGACTATTATAAGTGAACTAAATCTAAAATGAAACCACACCAAAGACCAATTTATATATACTAACTCAGAGTTAAAGTGCAACTATGCACATACTTAAGCAGTTCTTTTTACTAACTCAGAGTTAAAGTGCGCACATATTTAATATATGTTTAATACGCATTAAATTAAAAATTAAATGCTGCAAATACCAAATCGTTTTAAAAGCTTCCCGCTCGTTCTTAATATTATCCTCATACATTCCATGTACATGTAAGTCCAGGAATTAATAAATAAAAAGGAAGTTTTAAAAATCTTTGTAATTAATCATTGATAATTAATACGGCTTTAAACGTTAAACAACCCATTCAAAAGAAATCAATCCCGCATGCCAGTTATTCCATGTTCGTCCTAACAAATTCATCCTACTATTTTGACTATTAAGAATGAAATCTTCAAAGCCGACATTCTATTTAATCCTAGCAACGTTTTTGGAAAACACCTGCATTTATAAGGTCGGATAGTGCAATGTGCACTCCAAAAATTCTATCCCTTAGCATGCAACTGGATTACATGTATGTGCATTGTAAAATGTAGATACGTACATGTCCTAAGTACCTATATCGAAAAGAACGAAGGGGATAATCCCACTTTGGCCAGAATTTAATTACATTTGCCGCACAAGGGAACCCCCCTAAGCTCCCGCAGCGCATTAGGGAACCGCTGGGGCATTGAATTAAACTGACATTAAAATAGATTCCGAATGGGAGCCGAGGAAAAAATGCAAACAACCTTCGAAGTGGGAGGAGATGGGTTTTTGCCAGGGTCGTGCATTAAATCCACCACAGAAAACAATGCACAAATCCTATTTGAGCGCCGCTTGCAATTAAATACATTGTGGGAGGCGCAATGGAACTGGGGGCTTGAAAGTTGCCAGTGGTTTTGGTAGCAAGAGTGGTAAAACACACATGAGTTCCGGGCAGAGCCACTACAGCCGGAAGTACACAAATCGCATAAAACCCGAGGGGGCGAGGGCACAAGAAGCTGGGCCCGAACTGAGTTGCGTCCCAAAAAGAGTGACATAAAAAGTAAACAGCGTCGACACTGATTCAAAAACGTATTCAAAATGCGCTCCAAAAACCGGAGTGAAACGGGCGGTTGGGGATAAAGGATTTTTTTTGAGTCAGAATATAAAACCCTAGATGGCCCAGAATGGTACCATAAAACCCAACCCCCTCGTTCTCTCTTTTAAGCCGCATTACAAGTGCAGGAAGCTCTCTGAACCGGGATTACCAGTAGCCAAAATGCAGCTGCGTCCAGCATTCGTGGCCAACAAATACAAAAAAAAGGGGGACGAGTGGGTGGTTCCCCAGCGCGGTTCAAGGGTCAACAGCGAGTAAACAAGCGACTTTGCGGCGCTTTTTCCCTGTTATCGAGAGCGTCCATTTGAATGTTTTTTGTTTTCGGCAAATTTATGCCAAGTGTCTGATAATTGAAATGGTCAAGGGGCAAGAGCTAAGGCCAAAAGGGAAACGAAAGGGACTAAGGATATAAGGACGCGGAAAGGAATGTTTGCAGCAAATGGAGTAAAAAGTCTTAGCCAAAGCAATTGAGGACTGAAGTGCAGATTGAAGCCAAGTGAGCCGCAGCAGCCATCCAAGTTAACTACTTGAAACTACTCGATAAAGAAATTACTATCAAACGTTACTTGGTCTTTGAAATTAAGACCAAATGAAGCTTTCAAGATTTATTTTAATTGAGTTTTTGGTGTAATTAATTACATTTTGTAGTGAGACAACAATTTAAACTTTATTGATTATATTTATTATTCATTATTTTTTGAGATATGTATAACTATCTAATTCATACGTTCGTTATATTTTAATTTCTTCTATAACACAACGATTTTTTCATCTTTATTGAACAATATAAATAAAAATCAAATAATTATTTCCTTCCTCTTTACCGTTTTTTTGTTTTATAAATTCAGTAAGACACAAAAAATTCCAGGCTTATAGCTTCTTAATACTTGACTCATGAATTGTTACATGCAACTTGCCAGACAAAAACAAATAATTGAGGTCTGAAGTACCGTCGAAGGCAAGTGAACCGCAATGAAAACATTACTTGGTTTTTGAATGACTAAATTAAAAGCAGCTTGTAAGATTTAATTTAATTCGGTTATTTGCGTAGATTTGTATATTTTTTGGTTGGAAACTAATTTTTTTTTTTTTATTTTATTTTTTTTTTGCAGTAAAAGTAACTATATATACAAATAAAATAAATATTTTCTTCCTCCTTAAATTTATTTTATATTTTATGATTTCGGTAAAAAAAACTTTTTTGGGTTTAATAACACAAGACACAAAAATTCCATGCTTTCAGGTTTTTACTACTTGACTTATGAGTTCTAACTAGCAACTTGCCAGACGAAAATAAACAATTGTTTCAACGCAGCCGAATATATTTAAATTCCACACTCCATAAAAAACTCCGAGTTAGGGAATCGATGTCCCGCCGCCCGACCAGCGTGATGGCCAGCGGCAAGGAGGCCGCCAAGAGCAGTGCGGACAAGGACGAGAAGAACCGACTGGCCCACCTGGACGCGATCATCAATCAGCTCAAGAACCAGACACTTGGAAGCCGGAGGGCTGGCAATCTATCGGAGTCCACGTTGGCATACATATGCAGTACGAGTCGGGAGTTGTTCCTATCCCAGCCGATGCTCCTGGAGCTGAGTGCTCCGGTGAAGATCTGCGGCGACCTACACGGGCAGTTCAGGGACCTCTTGAGGATCTTCCAGCAGTGCGGTATCCCTCCGGCTTCCAACTACCTGTTTCTCGGCGATTACGTGGATCGGGGTCAGTACTCGGTGGAAACGTTGACCCTGCTGCTGACCTACAAGCTGCGTTATCCGGAGACCTTCTTTTTGCTGCGCGGCAATCACGAATCGGCGGATGTGAATCGGGTGTACGGGTTTTTCGACGAGTGTAAGCGACGGTACAGTGTGAAATTGTGGCGCACCTTTGTGGATTGCTATGACTGCATGCCGGTGGCTGCCATCGTGGCGGATCGCATCTTCTGCGTTCACGGCGGACTGAGTCCGGATCTGAAGAATCTGGACGACATCCGTCGGCTGCATCGACCCACCGATGTGCCCAGCGATGGCCTGCTCTGCGATCTGCTCTGGTCGGATCCGGATGAGACCACCGGCACCTGGGAGGCCAACGATCGTGGAGTTAGCTTCACTTTCGGCACCGGCATTGTGGAGGGCTTCCTGCTGCAGTACAAGTTCAACCTGATTGTCCGCGCCCATCAGGTGGTCGAGGATGGGTACGAGTTCTTCGCCGATCGCCAGTTGGTCACCATCTTTTCGGCACCGAACTACTGCAACATCTTCGACAACAGCGGAGCCGTTCTGGTGGTGGACCACAATCTCGTCTGCCACTTCATCATCATCCGTCCAAGGCCCATGATGCGGGCCTTGCCCTTCGAGTCGGACAGTGGATCGCAGACTCCACCGACTGGAGGACCACCGCCTTCTGCAAAGGAGAAGAAAGTGTATTAAACGTAGTTGTTGAATACTCTAAGGATTATCCTATACACAAGAAATGTATCAGAAGTCGAATATATAAAATAAATTAGTCTTAAATCTTAATAATTACAGAAAAGAAATTGTATCCTTCATTGCGAAAAAATATAATGTTGTTTTTAAAAACGATAGCTTTTTAGGCTTGGCAACACTAGGAATGACTAGGACATTTCTAATGATATTAAATCATTTAAAAAACTAACATAAGATGTTGCAAATCTTTTACATGGAAGTTTACAAATCCAACATGTAAAAATTAACTGTGTACAATTTAATTTATTATCCTACAACATTATAGGTATATTTAATAACACAATTTAATTAAATTATTTTTAAAAGAATTCCCATAAACTTAAATAATGTGAAACAAATGTGAAAAATTGACAATTATTTATCAAAACAGCAGGCAGAGTAAAAGCAAACCACAATTTCAAAAATATGCATGTTCAATTAAGTTTAATTACAGAAACTTCACTTTTTTTATATGTTTTACAAAATAGTGTGATTGAAAAGGTATGTTGCAGATACATGTGTACCGTGGACGGATGAAGGGTTAATACCTTTTAATTAATGAATAAAGTTATTGTCTATTTATAATTATAAAAAACTTGTGGCCTTTGTTTCCCCTGAAATCGATATTACTGCGTTCAATTGTGGCTTAATCGAAGGATAATTGAAGGTCACCAGAACCGCGTAGCCTGTAATGAAATATGACATAAATCTTCATTTAAATTTAATTAAAATTCCCAATGACCGAATGGCAGGGGCAACGAAAGCCGGAGAAATGGGAATGGCAAGGTGCTAGAAATGGGGACAGAAACCGAGTGCCCACCCACTGGGCGGAGTGTAAGGGAAGGGGGTCAGAGGTTAACAGCTTGGCAGGTGACTGAGGTGGTGGTGGCAGCTTTTGTTTGACTTTGTAAAATGTCTACCTGGCCACACTTTATGCCAGGGAAAATAATTCCGTGCGCAAATATTTAAATGTGGCCGACGGCAGAAGCCGCTTGCCCAGGGGCGGAGGTTACGGAGTATTCGGGGGGCAGGGGCGGTTTACGGCAGAATCGGGATGCCGGCCCGCAGGCAAACTCATTTTGTTTACAAAAACCAAGCATCGTAATTTATACATTCATGTGTGTAAACATAAACAAAGGTTCCAAGGCAAGGAAAAGCAAGCACCGGCAGGTGAAACGGGAATGGGAGGGCCAAAGAAAATAACTTTAATAATCTGGGCAAACACAAACACCGCCCAAGTGTGAGTGCGTTCGTGTAATTACACTGTGTGTGTGTGTGTGTAGAAAAACAAGCAACTGTCTGCATAAATATTTATTATGTGTTCAATTGCAATGGCCAAAGGCATTGGCAAAATGGTGGCGTATACGTGATTTCTGATGCACAGCGGGCACATAAATCACACATTTGCGGCTGCAGGCATCAAATGAATTGTAATTAATTTGTAATTTTTTGCCCATATTTATCGAACAATTTTATCCCATTTAAATCAATTGTGTAACGATTTTGTTAAATATGTTATGGACGGGGTGAATTATGAATTACAAATGAGACCGGAAAGTATGCAGCACAGTTGGAATGGAATTCCTTTGATATTGTTCCCTTTGATGCCGATTAAATATTGATCAAAGTGTGGGCCATCTCTTCACACTTTCCAGATTTGTCTTCCACACCTTCCACGCGATTATATGGTCCTAATAAAATAAAAACGAAAGCTGAGCGAATCCAAGACACTTGCCTTTATAGGCAACAAAAACTTTATGTCGCCATCTCAGGGCGCAACAAAAAAAGACTGAAATTAAATATAAATGTAAGAAGCACCGAAATGATATGGGGCCATTTAAAGGTGGGGAGCGAAATAGCTTCCAACAGGACAGATGACGTATAAAAATGTCAACGGCAACAAGAGGCAAACTTGTAAGTGCCAGGACGAGATGTTGAAAACTTTGCCAAACGGTGTCAAAACATAAAACGAAAATTAAGCAAAAGAAAAAGAGGCACACCCCGGGTTTTTTTAGTGGCCTTACCTCTGGTCCTGACACCTGCGCACATCCTTGAGGATGGCCAGGAAATGAGAAAATAAAGAGAGTAGCGGCAGGACAGGGCAGGACTACCTGCACCTGAATCTGATGGTTGATAGCTATAAAAAATACCACCACTTTTCCTTCGCGCCATCTTAAAACTGGGCCGTTACCGTTATACTTAAAGGTTATAGGGGTTTGGTGGTGGGGTGCAAATCCGCACTGGAGCGCAGCGGTCCGTGTCCCAGTTGCTCAGTTTGCCGCGATCCCCAATCTAATTGGCATGCAAAGGTCGTCGGCGGCTGTCCACGCAAAGAGTCGCCCTTGATGATGACCACTTTGGTCTGGAGTGGGCAGCAGTCCAAGGAGAGTTGAGCCTGGGTGTGTCGTGTTTTATAAAAATCATTTTATAATTCGATTTTCTTTATATTTCATTTGACCTTTACAATGTATTTTTGGGTAATTAACCTAAGAGGAAAAAATATATATTTACATTTCCTTTTTTTACACATGGCTAGTAACAAAACTAAATATTTAAGGTAACTAATTTTCATGCAATTTTGTTAATTCATCTAATAATTAGCCATGAAATTTTTTACATATTTACATAAGAAACTAAAATTTTCGTAACATAAATACATATTGGTGTCTGTTGGTCCTTTGTGATATGTCTGTAAAAAAAATTCATTTTTTTAAATCACTTACGCAAAGTGTGCCAACTTTCTAAGACAGTAAGTTTTAACCATCAGAATAATTTGCTTTGAAGAGATTAGATTAAGAGGTATTATGCTACAAAGTATGTCTTCTGTTTAGGAAAACTCCACGAAATGCAGTATAAGAATGTTAAACAATAAAAATTAATTTAATCTTATTAAATTTGTTTAAAAATGATTCGATAACTTGAAAAAAAGAAAAAAGCAATCCTTATATATTAAAGGTTTATTAATTTGGAATATTTTACAAATGTACAAATTCAAGCTTTTACAAAAATATCAAAATTACCATGCTATAAGACTGTATTTTACCTGTATCACCACATTCGACTTCCCCTTCTCTCATGCACCTTAATTATCCTTTACGCCATTTTTCCGTTAACCGATTCAATCGCTTACATAAGGCGGAATCAAAACACGGTCTTTGTTTTTGTTGTTGTCGGCCACGTGCGAGCCAAGGTCCGAACAGCTGTTTAGGCGTAAACAAAAGTCAGATGATTGGGGAGAGCCGAAAAATATAGGAGAGCATTACGCACAAATCAGAGCTTTCACGCTCCCCCGAAAAATGGCTTTACCGATTCGCTCAGTTGGCGTCGGGAAATCAACTTCACTTTCATTCGGAGCTTCGTTTTGGCTCGTCTCGGTTCGTATTCTGCCAGAAATCTCTGTAAAATCGCCAGTTTGCCGTGGCAAGCCGAAGCCTGAGGTTCTGTCGTCGTGGTGGCTTTAGCTTGGATTTATCCAAACATATATTCATCGGATTTCGCTACAGCAGCTCCATAAATTCGCGCTCAGTTCGTCTGCAGAAGTCAGCAGAAGCGGTTCAGAATCATCCCCGTAATTTCTGTTTCGACCTGAAAAGTGCTTTGTTTGTGGTGCGTGATGTTCAATTGTGTAATTGTAATGGATGTCCTTCGTTAAGATTAAATATTAAATTTTCAATGCTCGCTGGGTGGAGTGTGGTGGCAGCTCACCAGCTTTATCCATCCCTGACTCCATGGCGGCTACGTGATTTTTTATAAAGTGCCTCCGCAAATACAAAATAAGAATAAAACAAATATAAAAGGAGGAACGCGTGCCACATCCGTCAATGGCCATCAGGATGTTTCCCTCCCCATTTATTTTTGTGTGCGCGTTTCACTCGGTTGCCTTTTGTTTTTGTCCTTGTGTTATTCTTTCCAGTTTTTGTCCCTTTTTCGCCATATGCCACAACTGAGTTTGCCCCGATTTTGATTTTTATTGCCATCGCCTTTCGCTTTTTTGTTGCTCCCTTTTGAAGCGTTTGCATAAATAATTGAATGCGCCTAGAGGTGCAATAAAAACCCGTGCGACCCATTGAAATATTGAACCAGCTGAACCCACAAAAAGGACCCGCCAGGAATGCTTCGGATGTGTGCCCGAATGGGCCAAGCAAGCATTCATCTTTGAAATAACAGCGAAATGGATTTATATTTTTAATGAAATATAAAACTCGATTGCCCGCAACAGAGAGAAATCTGTCAAGCAATTAAATAAAGCCATATAAAAGTTAAATTGTCATTGTTTTGTTGTAGATAAATTGCAACACAAATCATTTGATAGGAGAATATAATATCAAAAATAATAATGACTGACGATGGCCACCATTAATATCAATGCAATAAATACATAATGTTTAAAAAACGATTGTACTGAAAGCAAATAATGGGGCACTATAATAAAATCTTCAACTGGCACTCTCTCTTTGTAATTCCCAACTTTTTGCCAACTCACAAAACGGTGACCAATTCCCCACAAGGTCTATTTCAATCTGCCCGAAAAATCCCACTTTAAAGGTATTTCAAAGCAAAACAAAACAAAAAACGTAACCAAAATATTTCAGCCACATATTTCTTGGCTGGCTCACGTCGCCAGGTTGCATGACCGAATCCTGGGCCTGTGCTGGTGTGGGTCCGTGTCCTTTTTGGCTCGTTGGTTGGTTGACCTCCAGGCACCACTAATTGCTGCAATTTTTCAAGCTCCACAGAGCGTCGCCGGCCCTTAGTTGGCTGTCAGAAAAAAAAAATATTTTTGCTTTGCATTCCTTTTTTGGCCTTTGCCAATTTCCATGGAAATGCAACTGTGAATTTTTGATATTTATCAACCAAAACAAGAGAGAACGCTATAGTCGGGTGCCCCGACTATCAGATACCCGTTACTCAGGTAAAGGGAGTGCGAGGGAGATGGAGATAGAAACTTTGATCACGCATAACTTTTTAACGAATGGTCCGATTTGAAAAATTTCTTCTACATTTCGATAGCTATTGATAAACACAATAAAACTGCATTTTTACTTTTCCGAAATATTTAAATTTTTAAAATCGTATATAAGCGATTGTGGGCGTTAAAGGGGGCGTGGCACCATTTTGAAACAAACTTGCGCTGCGTAGGAACTTCTAAAATCTACATGCAAAATGCCAATCTTCTAGCTTTTATAGTTTCCGAGATCTCAGCGTTCATACGGACAGACAGACAGACAGACAGACAGACAGACAGACAGACGGACAGACAGACGGACAGACGGACAGACGGACATGGCTAGATCGACTCGGCTAGTGATCCTGATCAAGAATATATATACTTTATAGGGTCGGAAACGCTTCCTTCTAGCTGTTACATACTTTTGCACGAATACAATATACCCTTTTACTCTACGAGTAACGGGTATAAAAATATAAAAAAAACATTGGGAAAGGGAAGACGGTGGAGAAAACTGCGAAACTTCTGTGGTCGTCCTCGAAAAGTCCTTGACATGTTGGCCCCATCTAATGAAGAATGATTGCCAGCAGCTCGCCTCCTGGGATTTCCCTCATTTTTCAGTTCCCGCTGGATTTCCACATGACTAATGATGACCAAACAATGTGCCATTAAATTATGGGAAAACAGTATTGTCCTAACAAAAAAATCAATTAATGAGTAAATTGCTTTTTAATTAATAACAAATACGGCCTACTAAATGCGCAAAATTTTCAGCGAGATTAAAATGAAAATATTTGCAGACATTAAACACAGAAAAGCTTAACACGTATCTGCTCAATATTTTCCAATAAATGTTTTCTTTCTTAAATAAATAATTTTTTAATAGGAGCATATGAAATGAACGAGTAAAATAAATAAGTGCAAAAGAGAGGTATAAACGGGAATTGTGAAAGTGAAGTGCGAAAATCGAAATGCGCCAAAGCAAACGCTCCAACGAAGTGTGGAATCAATACCAGTACCATAACCGAAACCGAGACCAAAGTCAAGGATCCACCGGAGTCGCCCGTCGTCCTGCGATGGGGCGAAACAAAGGAGCCGCCGCCGGATCAGGCGCAGTCAACTGTGGCCTGCTGATGCTCCTGCTCCTCCTCCAGCTGGTGGGTGAGCGCCTGGCCACGCCATCGCCATCCTCCATGCAGGCGCCACAGAAACGAGGTAAGTGCTGCTGCATCTCGCTATTTACACGGCCAAAAAAATCAATGAGTTCGATTGACACTAATATCTAAATCTTTTATGGGAATAACCTTCCTTTTAAATATAAAGAAGAAAAAATAATATAAAATATAAAATAATATAATATAAGATAATAAATTTTTCAAATTATTCCCAGTTTTAAAGCTAAAAACATGAGCTGGGTAACAAATTCGTACAGAACTTAAAACAAATAAATTTTTTTCTTTCTAAGCATTGACGAAATATTAATGTGGTAGCCTTTAAATGATTTCTTGTTGAAAAATAGGCATTGATTATGAAAATATATTTTTATTTATTGGAAGTATGATTTGTGTTATTATATTTTAAGACATTTTTTTTCGGTACAACCGCGGTGGTTCAAGGAAGGGCAGAGCGGCGAGTGCAGGGAAATAGCAAATAAATGTCAAATAACATAGCTCTAACCGCCTGAGTTGCCCCTCTCATATGGCTTGTGTGTTTGCTGTGTTGCTGGTAAATACTCGTAGGCAGGACAAAAGGCGCACCACGTTGCGTATACGTTACGTTGCCATGGCAGCCGAGCCGCGTTTGTTGCTGCCATTGTTGCTCTAGCTGAGCACTAGTCCTGATGCCGAGGCCGGGGCTGGTGGCAGTATTTTATTAACATTACATTGCTTTCAACTCGGCCTGACATAATAGAAAATTGAATTGCCACGGCGGGAGTGGGAGGACGAAGTTGGTAGAATGAAAGGGGGAGGACATTTGAACCCGGAGCCATCACAACTCAAAGGAACCCAAGGCTAACCACTGCCTTCAACCCCCGGCCGGTCTGCAAGTGATGCAATTAAGTGAACAGCTCTGAAGGATGCAAAACATAATTGAAGCCAGAGTGCCATGAGGTCCTGGCATGCGATAATGATGAGAGATGATGGGTCATCGGAATGTTGAGTAGCTACTGGAGGAGAAATCGAAATGGGAAAAAAGGAAGGGGACTTTTCATACTCTTCTCTATGCAGATGGTTAAGTTTTTATTGCATTTTGACTTAATAATCTGTACTTATTAGTGTACCTTCTTTAAATGTGGCACGCTTTTCTTATAGATTAAATAGACCAATCACTTTAAGCATTAATATTCTAGCCGACTTACTTAATTTAATGAAAGATAATATTTCAAGTTGAAAAATTATTAAACTTTTAATGTAGTCCTCATCAAAATGGAATCCACAAGAAGGGAAACCGTAGAATGTAAATTCGAAACAAGATTCTTGGAAAATATCCATCAGGGAGCTTGATTTCCTCTCGACCAGCCAGCTTTTCCCTAGCCCCCATTGCTTTTCCTGTTTTGTCTTGTGAACTTTATTTGCGCGCTGCTCCATTGGCTGCCAGGATACTTGGACCACATTGCCCTCGCCTGTGGCGCCCATCCCATCCCGCTCCCTGAACTTTTGCTTTCATTTGACGCTGGGGAACAATATTGTACCAAGTCGGGTGTCCTTTATTCATTCTTCTTGCGCTGCCAGATGCCGCGTCTCGAGAGCTCCTACAACATGCTTCATTTTATTATGCAACAGCCAACGAAAAAAATACGGAAAACTTGCTACTTTATAGGGCAATACATATACCCATGGCACGAGCATAGAAAAATAAAAACCGAAGCGGGAAAAAAACTTGACGCGACATTGTCGTAAATAAGAGGCAAAAACTTTGGCTTTGTTTTGCCAAGGAGCGGAGAAAGCGGCGGGAGAAAGTTGTGAATGAATATGATAAGTTTCCGCCACGACTGGTGTATTGGTCATGTGTGGACAGCCGTCATAAATTTCCAGTGCTAATCCAATGTGGGCCACACTTTATATAGGTGAAGTGAACTTTATGGATACTTGAACCAGCCCCCCGAACGTGGAGAAGTTTTATGGTTTGTGAAGCGTGAAATATGCAACAAATTGAGGGGAAAGAAAAGCCACAAGGAAAAGCCCAGCAGGAAAGGATAGTTCCTTTTCTTAAACTAAAGGCCCTAATTGTGCTGTTTCAACTAAGATCCAATGAAAAAGACATTAACCAATCAAGACTACTATATTCGTTTGACACCCAGTCATTTTGTTATATATTTCAATTATATTTGAAAGTCAAATTTGTTAATGATTTTGATTTGGTAAATAATCATCAACATCACATTAAACCAATTTATTGTTTTATTAAAAAACTGTACAAGAGGTTCTTTCAAAAAAGAGACTGAATTAAAGTTTTAAGAAATGTACTTTTTGGTAAAACATTTATTAAGTTGATCAGTCTGAAAAAGAAACTTTAGGAGGTGCAGGTTAAACCACTCGCTTGACCTCGAAGAAATGCTTTAAATAGTACACCTCCAAGATGGCCATAATGAGCAGCATCATGGGTCCAAATACAGACCACGCGGTGACCCGAAAGTGAACCATATCGCTGACATCCAGGTGACCGCGATAGCGGAAGTGCATGTATTCCTGCTCCATTTTTACGGATCCCAGTTTGGCGGACAATGCGTTGATCATGGCCTGAACCCTGGCCTGCTCCACGACATCGTCCCTTCGTTTGGAGGGATCCGAGTAGTATTCGAGGGTCCTGACAACATGAAACTGGAACATCAGGACCTTGGGAGTCAGCGTGGAGATTCTGTTGTCGAAGCACATGTTGTACTGGCCATCTTTCATAGCCGAGAAGGTGAAACTGCCCTTGGTGTCCTGCTCCGAGTGCAGCAATGGGTCGTCTCCTGGTCCCGAGATATCCACACCCACATCCTTGAAGCCACCCTCCATGACCTCAAAGGATATGGTGACCTTATCGCCGACACTGGCGTGATCGAAGAAGCACATAGTCTCGTGGGCATCGACTGTGATGATGGAGCCCCAAGCGGATTTCAAAAGCACCACAATTATCCCAATGACTAACAGCATTTTTGATATTTGATTTGATTTTGTTCGGGTTTCGTTGTGTTTATACTGGGACAGGAAAAGTAAAGAGCAGAAGTTATTCCCCCGGCCACTCCCATCGGAGATGAATAATTGAATGCCCAGCTAATTTAACCAGCTTCGCTTCATTATCGAACTGCCTTTGCACCACCGCCCCATTTTGCTCCCTCTGCAAACACCCTTCAAATCAAATTAAGATGATAAAAGCAAATTGCAAATTGTCAGTCGCCGGTGCCAAAGCCGCCCCCTTGGCAATGCATATTTGATGTTATCGATTCCTTGGCCCATCAATTGTCAAAATGTCATGCATTTTTAATGCCATCTGGGCCGGCGGACACACATTTGGATTTTCCGCAAATCATTCCTCGTGCTCTTCCATTCCCCCATCAAATTGCGATTTATAACTTTTTGGGCAATAAATTTTAATGCAAACTGCTGGAAATATTTCAATTGTTAGTTTCGCTTTAAAAACGATCCAATTTATCTAGTAATAATTATTTTCGGTTGTATTTTCAGAACTTTGTCTGTGTGCATAATGCTGAAGTGCACAAATCGTGTAATAATTTTATGAAAATTGTTTGCATCAGTAAAATCAAAACTTTTGTTAATATAATTCCGCTAATTGCTGCGTAATTTTCCTGCAAATATATTGCTCTAGTCGCTGTAATAACTGTTATTAAAAGTTATTTTTGAAGCGTTTGTTTAAATTTTTGCAGTTTCATGATGTGGCATTAAATTGCCTGGAAATTCATTCTATTTTCAGCTGTGTTTGGTCATGTGAAACCAAAAAAAAAATTAACCGCCGCTTCAGCAAGAGGCCAACAAATTGAATCAATTGCGATAAAAATGAACTTCCCCCATCAATTTGTTTATCGCCTGGAAACGCCATCCCTTCGACCGTCACCCAAAGTTCATGTCGCACCTTAAAACAATTTTACGAGTCGTCAATTTAACAGCAACGAAACTCCTTCAACTCCAAACGGACCCTCAACTATTCGCAAAATGTTCGCACATCCTCCAAAACTCTCCCCCTCTCTTTCCCGCTCCTTATTCCTATCTCTCTCTATAGAAACATTTTACAACTATTTGCTGTTTGCTCTACTTAAACAATTTTTTTCGCTCTGCTTCGCTTGTTCTTCAGTTGACTTTTTTTCCTTTTCTGAGTTCGTTTGTAGCCCGCACTTTGCATATCCTTTATGATATTCAATTTCAAATTCTAATGCTTTAAGCGATTAAGTACACGCTTTACGCCACTTAACTCCATGTCGCTCGTTCTAGACGGTGTCAGCTGCCCTGCCCTCCATCCCTCCATCCCTCCTCCCATCCAGATCCTATCCAGTTTCGTCCCTTCCCATCCGATTCGCGGTATTTGCCGACTTCAGTTACTTTAGGCGCCTTGAACACTTGATGCCCGCCTATCCTGCACTGAGAAAAAAGTCAAGTTTCTTACAGAGACTGAACCACAATAATTACAAATATTCGATATTAAGAGGTTTCTACCAACTTACGATGAATAAAAAGCAAGTAAATTTACTAACGCATTAAATACTATAGCTCTAATATGCCCAAAACTCATTGTCTGCCTCAAGTAAATTGACAAATGCTTAAAGCACTATAGTTCTATTATGCCCAAAACTCAGAAGAAAAGTCTTATTCGGATTTAAAATGCATACATGAAAGCTTTCATTTTGCTTTAATAAGTGAGATTCTAAAGTCACAAAACCAAAAAAAAACATTTCTCCTCTTTGTTTTTTTTTAAGATTTATAAAACACTATAAAATTAAACCTTCTTTGTGAAATTTAAACTCTATGTTAAAGAGCTCGAATTTCTTTACGATTCGTTTGAGAACAGACTCTGTAAAGATTTGTCGTTTAAAAAATTGACATAGGAAAGTAAAATTTATTTGTCAATTTATAAACAAGAAATGCAGCTATGACCGATAAATAGATTTATTTTGAATTCTTGTAGACATTTTCATCCATTTTTCTTCCCAGTGTGTTTCTGCTTCTCTCACAATTTTTTTTTCCCATCCCACCCGCCGTGTCGACATGACATCGACGCTCCTAAGTGCCAGTTCGAGTTGGCCTCGCCACTGAATTTCCCTTTCTTTTATTTTTTGTGAGCCGTGCTCAAGGACTTTTTGCTGGATGTTTCATGTGCGTGCAGCAGCTTAGGAGCAGATGTGCGTGTAGGTGTGGCTCTGGGTGGAGTTTTGACCCAATCCCCGCTAGGAATAGATGAGGGGACAGATTTCGCTACGGGTTTCCGTTTCCAACGATTGGGCCTGACTTAAAGCGGCTTAAATTACGTATACGCCCAGTCGGTCAGTCAGTCGACAGCCTGTGGATAATAGCCATTCCATTCCTTCTGTTCTCTCAGTGATGCTTTCTTTGTCATGCTCTGTCCCCTTATTTTGCATTTTCTGCAACTATTTTTTGTATACCTTGCCGGACTAGTTTTGGCATCTACTCAATTATTATGCCGCTTTGGGGGAAAAGTTGCCATAGACTCACGTGCCTCCGGCTTTGATCTCCTTGGCTATTTTTTTCTGTTGTTTCCCACCCCCTTTCCTTATTTTCCTTCATCAAATCGCTTTTGTGGCCGGGCCATTCGTGCGTGTTCTAATTTGTTTGCAACTCTACGTGTGTGTCTCTTGTTGATTGCCACTCATGACCGCTCCTTTCCCAGCCCCCTAAGTCGCATACCCGCCCTTGCCTGTAGTCCACTTTTAATGCCCTTTTAAAGGTGCAAATGATTTCATTTCTGTGCTTTACTTTTTTATATCTCTCCCACATTAGCCCAATTTTGTACATCGTTAAACGTGACGAAATTGCCTCAATTTGGGACATGCCATTCAGTAAATAAAGCAATTAAAAAGGAGTCAAAGCAAGCCAATAATAAAACAAGAAAGGAAAGCTAACTTCGGGCGGAGCCGAAGTTGATATACCCTTGCAGAATACTCTGTAAATTATATTCTCCAAAATTATTCATATAATGCATTCTTAATACTCATAAAAAATCCCAACTTCCTAACTTTACAAACACGAAAGTTATGGCATTTCCGATCAATCAGTTATATGGCAGCTATAGGATATAGTCGGCCGATCCTTATGAAATTTGGTAGGTCGGATTGATTGGCCAAATATAAAACCCATAGAAAATCCCAACTTCCTAATTTTACAAACACGAAAGTTATGGCATTTCCGATCAATCAGTTATATGGCAGCTATAGGATATAGTCGGCCGATCCTTATGAAATTTGGTGAGTCGGATTGATTGGCCAAATATAAAACCCATAGAAAATCTCAACTTCCTAACTTTACAAACACGAAAGTTATGGCATTTCCGATCAATCAGTTATATGGCAGCTATAGGATATAGTCGGCCGATTCCGGCCGTTCCGACTTATATACTGCGTGCAAAGGAAAGAAGGGTGTGTGCAAAGTTTGAACTCGATAGCTTTAAAACTGAGAGACTAGTTTGCGTAGAAACAGACAGACGGACAGACGGACAGACAGACGGACAGACGGACAGACGGACATGGCTATATCAACTCAGGAGGTGATCCTGATCAAGAATATATATACTTTATAGGGTCGGAGACGTCTCCTTCACTGCGTTGCACACTTTTGACCAAAATTATAATACCCTCTGCAAGGGTATAATGATAAGTACGAGAATTGCCACTTGTATATATTAAATTAAATGTTTAACTTATATAAATTATAGTTTGTTAACATAAACATCATTAACATGCTACAAAAACTAGAATAGTTAAAATAAAGGCAAAAATAAAAATTAAATTTTGTTGAAGTTTGTTAAAAGCTTTAATGGGAATCACTTGATTTTCATGTTTATCAAAGGAAGGTATTTTACAAATGATCCCAGCAAAAACACTTCAATGTAAATAGCTTTTCCAAAAGAATAAATTTACCACTTTAATTAATATTACTTATAGTTGGTGGGAAAATGCTCATACCAACAACTTTTGAAATTGGACAAATTATTCCTAAGAACTTGATTTATTTATTATTTCTCACTGCTACCTCTTAATCTAATAATGCTTTTAAAGATGCTGCTCTGTTGTAATGACAATGTTGCGACTAGATTAAAAAGGTATTGCTTGCACAATTTGTCTAAAAGATAATAGCAAGTATTCTATATTTTAATTTAATTGTGATGTTAGATCCGTCTCGAGTTTATTTGTATTATGCTTGTATGATAAATTAGTTTGGCATTAAATCATTTATCTTTATTCATTTTATTTTTTATTTATTTTGGTGACCCACTTCTTCTAAATATAATATGGGAAATACCATTTCCTGCCTTATTGTGAACGGATCAAATCTTTATTTGGCAAACAACTCAAAGAAATCGAGGCAAAAGGAAAACAGTTGAACAAGCAAACCAATCGAACTGATAAAAGGGGGCCGCATCCTTGCCATAAGCTGCACAGGAATCGTGCTAATCTCCACTTGAAAAACACTTGTCAGGGGGGAGGGGGGAATTTTCCTTTCCGAGGGAAATGGAAAAGCCATGAGAAATGAGCCGAAGGCAGCCTGTGAATGAGCTGTAAAAAGGCTCAAGTATTGACAATGCCTTTGGTCTTCCATGAGATATCTTCCGCCCACTTTGCTGGCCCCTCACCCAGTATGTGGGCATAATGGGCTAATGGGCGTGGCAAAAGTGGGACATGACAACAAATTGGCAAATTTCGTATTTTTTCAGCTCCTTTTCTTGATGTGTGTGTGTGTGTGCGTGAGTTTGTGAGGATTTATTTCAATTGAAAGTGCCGCCATGAGCTGTCAACATGAATCCCTTAGCCAGACTCTAGCAATAAGTCAGCTAACGAGCTTCAATGAGCCATGCCAAGTATTTCCGGTACACACGCACACACATACGGCGTAAGAGAGAGAGAGAGAGGGGGGTAGAGAGCGAATGAGATGGAAAGATCAAATAGCTTGGATGCTGCATTTTCGTGTCTCCAAAATTTTTGCTATGTGTTGGCATGAAATTTACATTAGAATTTCTTCTGCTTTCTGGCTACAATTTTCATGCACAAACAAGGATGGT